GATTCATTAATTCATTCCTTCTAAAATATTTATTGGCACCTTCTAGTGTAGGCCAGGGGCTAGGAATATAAAAATGAATAAGAGTCGCTTTTTGCCCTTAAGAAGTTTACACTGCGGGAGGCGGGGGGGGGGGGTCAAGCATATAGCAAAAAATAAACGCACAAACGTTTATTATAAAATTTAAAACAGACATTTAGGCACTGTGGAAACATTAAAAAGAAAAGGAAGTGGAAAAAGACTTTGTTGGGAGCCGGCTGGATGGAGAGAAACTCATAGGGTAGCTTTGATAAAATGACAGGTTAGCAGTCGTGGTAGGGGGCAGCGACCCTGCGGAGGAAAACGACAGGGCTTGCGGGATCAGCACCAGCGGAGGCGCGGAGGCCTGAAGCTACCAGTTCTGTCCCGGGATCGCCCTCACAGCCCTTTGTCTCCAGACAAGAAGGAGAAACGGGTTCGTTTCCCTACCATAGGGTAGGTCTGAGTAACTTGGGGAATATAAATCCTAGCAAAGATAGCTGCAAGGCTGACTCCAATCTTGGATGTGCAATGAAAATGGGCTGAAATGAAAGCCTTAAATTTCTCAAAGAGGGCCCCAGGGGAGACCCGGAGACGCAGGCTCCCTGGCCGTGTCCCACCCCGGACGGCTGCCCCAAAGATGTCCCCAGAGAGTAAAGTCCTTTAGAGTCTCAGCGCCCACAAACCCAGCTCTCAGCGTCTCTCTCCTCTGTCCCTGCTCCGGCGACTCGATCCGCACGGACGCGAAGGTCGACGAAGACGTCGGCTGTTCACCCTCCAGGCTGGGCCACAGCGCTCGCGAAGACCCACCCAGGAGAGCTCGGCGGGCTCCGAGCAGGCGCCCCAGGCGCAGGTTGGCCCAGACCCGCGCGGCGGCCCCGGCCCGCGGCTCCAGGTTCCTTACCCTCCCGCCGTCAAAGGTTGGAGCGCGCCAGCGTTTGTGCACTCATCTCCTCGCTCGGATTCTGTCCCACTACCCCCGTAGTTTTGAGGCTCCTCTCCTCGTTCTAAAAACGGGAGTGGCTCCAGGCCTAGGCGTCCGAGAGTTCTGGGGCGCGGGCGGGAAAAGGTGAGAGTGTGGCTTCGGGAACTCAAGAGTCGCGAGGGGACTGCGGGGAAAGCAGCCGCCCGTCCGGGGACCGTCGGCTTTCTCAGGGGAAATCAGGTTTGCCATTTCGGGCCCCGGCTTGTGAAGAGGTGCCTCGCCGAGGGTCCCGACGCGCCAGTACTCACGCACCATTTCCCAGCGGGCCTCCAGGGGGCCCCGCCCGC